ATTTCGGTCAAAACCCAAACCCGACAACAAACCTTTCTTCCCCAAATTAAATCCCCTTTCCCATTTTTACCAAGACAACTCCCGACATTTTGAGACGACAATCCAAAAAATCGCTCTCTTCGGTCGCCTCCAGAGCTGATAAACAATACTTCCGCCCTCCCCGCCGGCAAGAGACCACCGAAAAAGTAAATCTTACTGTGTTTGAAAAGGAATGTGCGCTTTTTCTCTTTTATTGGTGACTTTCACTCTAATTTCTTCCAACAATTGCATTTGGCTTCTTCACTGATGTGTTGGTTTTTTATTATTTTGCTAATAAGCAGAGGTTACATTTGATGGGTTTGGTTTGTTTTTTTCCCCGTAAAGAATGCTCATGAAAAAATTTGCATTTCTCATCAGTTGAACATTTTTTGCTCCATTCTTTGTTTCATTTTTTGGCTCCATTCTTTGCTCCTATCATTTTGCTAATAGGCAGAGGTTACATTTGATGGGTAACCCCTGTTCTTTGTTTTGGAACAAAATTGCGTATGAATTAGTTTAAATTCTGGTAATATGTTCTTGAAGTTTGACTACAATAAAATATGCATACCCCCTTGTAGCAATAAAATATGTTCAACTGATATGGAGATGGGAAAAAAAAATTAAAATTTGCAGACAACAGAGCGCATGGTGTTTTCAATTTGAAGTAGTTTTTACTTGTCAAATGTGGTTAAATATCATAGAGATTTTTCATTGTAATGGAAGCAGTTGTGGCATATTTAAAATTTGCTTCGGCCGTGCAAAATAGCATTATATGTTAATTTGTGACAATCGTACGTTTACATGTTGATGTGGTTGTTTAATATGGTTGAATTAGATTAATTCGATGGCAGGCAAGAATAGGCGAATATGTCATTGTTGTAGGACGGTGAATCAAGTGGCATCACGAATGGAGGTGAACACGTGGATTGAACGGTTTGTACGTGGCGATGGTTTGATCTGAATGTCACCGAGTTTACTATTTTGTGAGCACAATTTTAATAGTAGTAGTACTTTGAAGTTTATATTGTACTTTGAACTAAATATTTTCATTTATGTATAATGTAGTCTTGTTTTTGGCATCTCTATTGTCTGAAGAATACTTTAGTAGCATTGACATCACTTTCACTGGCAAACATTTGATAATAACAGATGAGAGTTTGGACCATAACACACTTTGACAGAGAATTACAAGTGGTAAAAAAAACCAAAAGGCAGGCAAGCAAACAAAAAGTGCTCCACCAAAATAAGTAAAACCTAAAGCAATTAGCCGGCAAAACAAAATGCCTACGTAATTGCATTTAAAAGAAGATTGGTTGGTAATAATCCAGACTCTTACTTATAAAAATGGCAGGTACAGGATTATTGTCATCAATAAGAAACATTACTACATGGTCACTGGGTTCAAGCATATAACAGATTTCTTCAAAACTCTCTTCAAAATGGTGGTCTCCTCGATGAACCCACATTTTCAAAGGCCATTCCAATACCACTTGCAGCATCTTGATAAGCCATTCCAGAACTTTGATTATCAAAAAGACTAGAAGGAACTCCAGCACCCGGAGGAATGGAATGGGTGGCAGTTGACATCCAACTTGCTATGGCACTTGGAGGAGGCAATGGTTGGAATGACTGCATTCATAATGTTGTAACAAGTAAATTGGAGAACGGTATGAAAATAACTGTTTGTATGTGAAAAAAATACAACTTACGCCATGAAAACCAAGAGGGAAAACACCCGTTGCGGACGATCTCAATGTCCCCTCAACAATTCCCAATTGTGTTCCAACATTGTACGAAAAATTGGGATAGTAGCATGGCATTACATTACCTACGTAAACATGAAAACATCAAATTACAACACCATCTCTGATAGGATTGATTCTAGTTTCAATTAGTCATTCAATTATTAGTTGGTTGCTATACTTACTAGGATAGTTGACTAAAACATTTGACGTTGACGCCTGAAGTGAATTTGCAGCCGGCAAAACCTGTTGTGTTAGTGCTTGACTTTCCTCGTCACCCTACATGACATGAAAATTGAATTTTAAGAAAAAACACTCCCGCTAACACGGTCGATAATAAATACTTTCCTATGCAAAATTGAATTAAAAAAAAAACACTCCCGCTAACACGGTCGATAATAAATACTTTCCTATGAAAATTGAATTAAAAAAACACTCCCGCTAACACGATCGATAATAAATACTTTCCTATGCAAAATTGAATTTAAAAAAAAACACTCCCGCTAACACGGTCGATAATAAATACTTTCCTATGAAAATTGAATTAAAAAAACACTCCCGCTAACACGATCGATAATAAATACTTTCCTATGCAAAATTGAATTAAAAAAAACACTCCCACTAACACGATCGATAATAAATACTTACAAGAATAATTCGAATAAAAAAAACCACTCCCGCTAACACAATCGACAATAAATACTTACAAATATAATTTGTGAATTTGAGAACGGTGGGAGCATCGAATGTTGTGCTTGTTGCGGGGTCTGAACGAAAACACCATCATGTCCAAGATTGCTTTTCCTCGCTCTCGGTCTCTGTCCTTTGCTTGAAGTCAATGCTGCCTGCGTGACATGGGAATAATTGATATTTGATAAACGTTCGAACGAATGTATGACATTTACAAATATATTTAAAAAAAAGATAACCTTTGCTTTCTTGGAGCTCAACTCCAATGGGCTTTTACTACGCAGTTTCTTTGGTGCACCCTTTCTTTTTGAGCAATTCGGATCTTGTATGCTTCCCGAGCCTATGTCATGCGATGCTCTAGATTGGGAGCCTAAATGCAAACTGGGCAGGGAAATGCTATTACTTCCACAACTCGTCCTCGTAGACATCATGTCTTTGGATTGCGATCGAATCCAATCTATTATCGCACGAGTTCGCTCTTCGTCATCTGCGGCAATGTCTGCCAACGTAGCAAACACTTCACACATTTTATCGTACCTCAATTGGCTAGGCGTGCTAGCCAGGCCATCGTAGTTCACAGCGACCCTCGTGTGGGCTCTACTAACGTCTCTTCTCCATCTCCTCAGTATGTACCTCTCTGGTACTGATGTGACTCCGTTACGCATCAACACTGAAATGGCATGTCTGCACAAAATTCCACAAAACTCAAATAGGTGACAACTGCAAATAATATCACAATCCTCTGCACGGAATGTGACCGAAAACTTCTTCTTCCGAACATTTTCTTCATAAATAACATCCTCCTCAACGTCATATGTCTTCTCCGGATATGTATCCGATGCAGAAATCACATCGCAGTACACCTTCCCAGTTATCTCATCCTGAAATTCTCGAAACTTCGAAATAGTATAAACTGCCTGAAATTGCTTTTCCATTTCATATTTTGTTGCACAAGGAACCATCTGTGAATAAGACTTAAAATCTGCTTGAAATTCCTTTTCAACTTTATTTCGTAATGCTCGTTCGTACTATTCAACGAACTGTTTCAACGATGTTTTAGAATGCACATACCCATCGAAGAACGCATTCATACTCTCACTGCGCTGCGTTGTTGACATCCCCTCCCAAAAATTTGTTTTCAAATAACATGGAACCCATCGACCCCTATTCTCAAACAACCCCGACAACCATGCATTATCATGTAAGTTATATGTATCGAGCATAACTCCCCAACCTTCATCAAATTCTTCAACAACCTGTGTATCGTACACTAATCTATGTATTGACGAAAAAATTGAGCCCTTGTCAACGTGGTACCCAAACTTCTCCGGTAACTTTTTCAATATGTGCCACAAACACCATCTATGTCTCGTATTTGGAAAGACTATTTCAATTGCATTTTTCATGGCATTGTCTTGATCGGTGATAATTCCATTAGGAGTTTGACCATGCATGCATTGCATCCATGTCCTGAACAGCCAAACAAATGTAGCTGTGTCTTCATTTGCTAGCAAACCACATCCAAGAAGTGTTGATTGTCCGTGATGATTTACTCCAACAAAAGGGGCAAAAGGCATGTCGTATTTATTAGTGAGGTAAGTGGTATCAAATGTCACTACATCCCCGAACTCCTTATACGCTTGCCTACACCTATTATCTGCCCAGAAAAGATTCTTAAGCCGTGACTCTTCATCCAAATCCATACAAAAGTAAAACCCCGAGCACTGTGCTTGCATTTGTGAAAAGTAGGATTGTATTGCCGCGGCATCTCCTTCACCGAGTCTCAATCGCCTCACTTGTTGAACATAATTTCGACAATCCTTTTCCACGCAAGTCATATTCTCATACCCACCCGCTTCAACAACTGCAGAGTTGTAACTCTTGTGTAAAGGAATTCCAGCCATATCGTTCACTTCAAGCCTGCGTTTCACATTTGCACTCAATTTGCGGTTGCAGCGATACAACCTGGATTTCGAAGGACTTGTTTTATGATTGTGTTCAAGATAGACTTTGCGTATTTTCCATATTCCACGAATATCTGAAGAAGCAGTCAATCTTACTTTGCAACCTGTCTGAATTGTTGGTTGCGGCTTCAAAGAAGCGCAAGTAGTACTACTTCTCCGTCCCTCACGACAACATGTGAACGTAACGTATCTCACTACTCCGTCCTCCCCCTTCCTGGAATTCCTTCTCCTAACCGGAAAACCAACGTTATACGCATACCTCTTGTAAAATTCAAACAACTCTTTCTCATCTTTGAACTCCATACCCACCTTAGGCACAATCGCAACATCTCCTCCGAATATATTATCTTCCAATGTGATGATATTGTCCATATTGTCCTCATTATTTGATTCTACAAGAATTTCGTCATCCGATACTTCCACTAGTTCTTTTCCTACATCATATTTAATGGGAATATGATCAGCATAACAACAAAATGAAATTTCGAGTATTTTTAATATGTTAATGGATATCTAATTTCAAAAAATATTAGATGCAAAATATTTCAGCTTAGAAAAAGAATTCTTTCAATTACCTTCCTACAATTGAAAAAGAATTCTTTCAATTACCTTCCTCCATCATTCATTTCAAAAATATTGGATGCGAAATCCCGACATTTCAGCGATGACCGAAAAAATCAGCTTCGATTTCGAAGCACTACAAAACTGAAAAATAATTCTTGCCATTACCTTTTCCCGTCATTTCTTGGACCCCCATGGCACAAATTATTTAGATTTCGAAACACTACAAACCCGAAAAATAATTCTTGAAATTACCTTTTTCCGTCATTCCTTCGACTCCCATGGCATCGATCCACTCTGGTTGGACCAAATTTTTTTTTTTTTGGGTGTGTGGAGTCAAGATTCTGGTCGGAAAAAATTAAGGTGGAACGTAACTTATCAAAGCATTTCCGTCGGCGGCAAAAAGATGGAGGGAATCAGGGAAGGAAGTAAAAGGAACGGAAATTCCAATACCATAGATATTTAAAAAATGCGATAATGGGCCGGTTAGGTTTTACCAAAAATATGGGCCTTTTTAATTGATATGCTTTTTTAATCATTTCACATGCCACGTAGGAATTTTTGAATTGATGTACAAATGCTGTACACCAAATTGCTGTACAAGACGCGTTTCCGATTTTTTTGTCCGTGAAATGCTTTAGTCAATTCCATGCAAATTTTAGTCAATTCACTGCTGCAGAGTTTATTTTGCAGAATTTCACTACACAAATTTTTTCGCGCAGAATGGTTATTTTTCATGCATGGTCGTGTTTACATATATATATATATATTTTTTTATGTATAACTTCATACCACGTATGTTTGGTAATTAATTTTTAATCCTTTCTGTATTGTAATTAACACTTTTAACCTGATTAAAAAATTTTATAAGTTCCTTTTTTTTAATTGATAATATATCTCATTGATTCTATCGAAGAAGCACAACTCCGTAAATAATGCATTGCTCATGAAGAGTTATTGTTTTTAAAAATCAAAATAGTATTGCTGCTGAAATAGCACGCTATTATTTACATATATTCTAGTTATACTTATTTGCACCCAAAGAGAATAATTAATTAAAATCGAAAACAAATTATGTTTTTACTTCTGAACAGTAAATCTCTACATAATTTAAATTTTAAATGATAATATGTTATTGTTCTTGAAGAGCATAAAAATAAATTTTCAATATTACAAAAGAATATTAATATATTGCTTTTGAAAATGTAATAGTAAAATACAAAGTGTTCTCGAAGTAGCATATGTCTCGAAGAATATATCATATGTGTAATTTATGAAATTATGTTTATCCCTAAAGAAAAATATACAACTCATGTTATGTGGACAACGATCCTTATATGATTATATCATAACTAATCATATTTTCGAAAATTGACTATATTTTTTGTTTGATTGAATAGTTATTCAGATGACATACTGTATTGAACTACAAGTTCAATTATTAAATGTATTATTGTTTGGCATGGTAAATTACACCATTGATCAATGAATTTTACCAAAAGTTTCCACCAAATCTCTAAACTTTAAAAACTACGCAGTTAGTCACTAAACTTTAGAAACTGCAGCATCATCCATCACTAAATCAACTTCTATTAGAGAACTTGATGGATCCGATGATGTGGCGAACGGAATCCATGACGTTGCACGTTTGTGTAAGAAATTTAGGCCATGTAGGATAGTTGTTAGTGATCTAGAGTTGTAACATGTTTTTATCTAAAAAATATATATAAAAATAAAAACAAAATCATGAAATTGTTAAAACTGGCAACGCTACATAACCAACCCATTTACCACCAAACCACACTTCTCACTCCCCTAAATCGATAACCATCAACCTCATTACCGGCAACAAATAACCTACAATCGGTGCCAAGGAGCTTAACATCGCCAACCCAGTTGAAAATCAAGACCTCTAAAATACCAAATCGCCATGACGAAAACTTCAAGAATGCGCATCTACAGCCCTAATGCGCATCTACAAGCCCTAAAATCGAGACACCATTACTCACGTTAACCCTAACCGATCGTCGCCCACCCCATACCAAGTTTTCGTGACAATTGGAACCTACAACCGTGTCCTCTACCTCCAGAACCTCTCAATCGCTCTTAATGAGCTCAGTTGAAGTGAACCTGTCGTTGAATCCCCCAATTTGTATGAACATGGCAAACATTAAGGAACGATCAATATGTAAGCACTACAATAAAAATTATTTTTTAAAATATTGAAAAAGGCAACGATTGTTAATTGAGTGTTGTTAAATGGGTCAATCGCAGCATACGTGAATGTTGTAATTGGTTAATATAATTGTGTTCTGGCAGTATTTTTTAAATGAATGTTGCTAATGTTGCCTTTTGCAACTTTTTTGAATGTTGCGAAAACTTTCATTTTTTGCAACATTTTTTGAACGTTGTTAAAATATGGTTCTATACCAACATTCAATGCTTGTTGCTAAAACTCTTAATACATAACATTTTATAACGTTCATTTACTGTTTAATTTTTGCAACGTTTTTTGAATGTTGCGAAAAGTTTCACTTTTGGCAACATTTTTTTGAATGTTGTGAAATGGTATTTGTAAGATTAATTGGTGATCATGGAAACATAATGATCTAATTTACAAAATATATCAAAGTTGAGGGTCTCATATTAATTGTTGACTTGTTTCCCATCTTCTAAATTTTATCCTCTCTCATTCTATACACTCTTTCCCATTCCTTTCTTTCGTTTTTCTTCCCTTCCCTTCCCTTCGAAGAGCAAAGCTGAGGAGAAATTTTTGTTTGAAGCAGCAAGCTAGCGACCAGAATTGGGCATAACCACAGTTGTAGGGTTTTGGTCGGTCTGTAAGAGAATATGATAAGTGTTTCGACTTTCGGTCACATGAGATTTAGTTCTGTTTTTGTAATTTTTAGGGTTTTCTACTTTTGTTAATTTCCCTTTTTGTGTTCTTTCTTAAGATCGAGTAGTCGGCTTCAACTGTGTTGCATCTAGGTTTCCAGTTTGATTTGTTTCTATTGGATGGTGCGGAAAGAAGTAATCATGGTTGTTGAAGGTGTTGGAGTCTTGCATCTCATATTGGCAGCACAGAAATAAGAAGGAATGAAGAAAAATCGAAATGGAAAGAAAAATCAGCTGGAAAAGGAAGTTAGCTAGTTAGTTGGTTGAAATTCAAGTTAGTTATTTTGTTATTTTTGTTATTCATTTGTTGGTTACTTTATTTATATGGTTAATTTCCTGTATAAATATTGTATCTGGTGTAAAATCCAGCAATTAATTCATTCAACAGAACGTGATTTTTATCCCTCAGTCTTCTTCTTTCTTTCCTCCATTTTCTCTATATTTCTCTTGTTTTTTTTTTCTCTGGTTCTGATTCTACAATTTAACATGGTATCAGAGCTAGTTCTATCTAGCTAAATATTTCCGCAACATCGTCTGCTTGTGCTTTGCAAGAACTATTTCCCCTTTGCCAAAGTTTGATATGGAATTTTCTACACTGATTTCACAAACATGAATTATGAGGATTCATCCATAAATCCTCCTGCAAATTCAAGAAATTTTCCCAAAAATTCCTCAATTAATCCCTCAGATGATTCCATTAGTCCATATTATCTTCATCCTAGTGACAATCCTAGTGCTTTACTAGTGTTAGGAATTTTCAATGGAGAGAACTATGTCGCATGGAGTCGATCAGTCATTATGGATTTGACAGTCAAGAAAAAGGTTAAGTTCCTTGATGGCACAATTTCTCCTCCACTTGCTGATTAGATTATCAATCACACGACATGACTGTTTGCTAACAATATGGTCCTCTCTTGGTTAATGAATTCCATCAACAAAGATATAAGAAACATCTTGTTGTTTGTGGCATCAACGGTTGATCTCTTGAATGATCTCAAAACCAGGTACCTGAGAAGTGATGGATCAAAAGTCTTTCACCTTGAAAAATCCCTAAGCTATATAAGTTTAAAGATCTTCATCTATCACTGAATATTTTAGTTCTTTTAAGACTTTGTGGGATGAATATATCGGTTATAGGCCATTCCCAACATGTACATGTAGTAAAATGGTATCATGCACCTTTTAGTTGTTCAATTTTCTGCAAACTAGGCAGCAATCTGATTATGTGCTAAAGTTTCTAGTTGGGCTAATTGAATCTTTTGCACCTGTTAGAAGTCAGTTGCTCATCATGGTACCATTACCTAGCATGGCCAAAGTCTTTTCATTATTGCTCCAAGAAGAGAGTCAAAGACAAATCACTAATGCTGGCATGTATAATGAGGCACGTGCCTTGATGGCAAAACAACCCAATCAGCAGATTTATTAGCCAAAATCATTCAAGGACATATCCAAGGCATCTGGTCCACATTGCACTTACTGTGGATATAATGGACATATAATAGACAAGTGTTTCCAGCTTCACAGATATCCTCCAAACTGGACCGGACCAAAAAGGAAAATAAACACATTTGTTCATGTTGGATTTGCAAATCAAGAAGCTCCAATCAGAATTGTAATGAGCAACAAAAGTTTTCTTTAAGTCCAAAAGAATTTCAAAAACTGATGGTACTTGCCAATTCAACATCATCTGATCTACCTACCCAGATCAATTGTCAATTTTGCTTCCGCACCTCATTTCCCTTGTAATGTATCACATTTTGCTTATTGTGGATCTTCTTCTTCTTTTAAGTCCAATTCTTCTTGGATTCTTGACACGGATGCAATAGATCACATGATTTGTTCCCCCTCATTTATTAAAAACTGCACCTCAATCCATCAATGCATTCATCTTTCTTCCCAATGGTGTCAAAGTCCATGCGTCTCACATTGGTATTGTATGTCTATCTAATTCTCCATTCCTTCACAATATCTTATGTGTTCCCACTTTTTCCTTCATCCCGTTGTCCGTGCCTAAACTCACCAAACAATCACATCTTTGCCTCACCTTTACTGCTTCACACTGTACTCTATAGGACCAATCAATGAAGAGGATGATTGAGATTGCATTTGAGAAAGAAGGACTTTATCACTTCATCCAAGCTTCCCTAAAGACTCAGTCTAGCAAGCAAATCATTCTCACACCTTCTGCCTTTGCTAATACCCATTCACAACTAGATATTTGGAATTATAGGCTAGGACATGTTTCTAGTTCAAGGCTGCCATTTCACAAGCAAATAGATCCATCTATCAACATTGATTGTACTCATGTATGTGAAATATGTCCTCTAGCAAAACGAAGGAAACTTCCATTCTCCGTATCTCAAAACAAATGAATTAAAATGTTTAAAT